GAAATTTCCCCGATATAATGATTACATGTTTCTCTTGTTTTTCCCTGTGCAGAGACTATTAAAATTTCGTTTAATAAATGCAAATCACACCTGTCTGCTAGCTCATGTGCATAGTTGGGGAAGCGAGAAAAAGATGCATTATGCCTAAATGAACGACCCCTTGTTGAGTCAGGTGCAGCAAGATGGGAATGGATATTGAAAAAGTTGCTGTGTGAAACGGATGTCACCTTTTTTAATGTAAAAATGTGAGAGCCTATACGTGTTATTAGAAGCGAGTGTGGAAAGTACTGAAACGCAGTATTTAGTATGAGGTATATTTACCTATCTGTCGATGGCTTGTTGAAATTTTTGTGGCAGGGAAGTGTGTTGGATTCCGATGGGCCACCACTTGTAAACACCCATAAATTCCGCTAGTTTGCGTGCTACTGAAGTGTTAAGTGCTAAACGTACGATTTGCTAGCATCAATTTTCAAGGCTACATTTTCTTTTGCGATTAACTGCCAACATCATTGTCGAAATGAGTACACCTAACCTAGGTTAGTTGGAGTTCAAATTGATGCGTTAACGGCGCAGGGAAAGGTAACAACTGACTGCCTATTTCGATAACTACTGCATTCTAAGCAGTTATGGCTTACACAGGCGACGTCGCATTCAATGGGTTTTCAGGTTAATCGGAATCCAACGGCTGTGGGGCTGCATACGCCAATTGTGCAGGCTTCGACAGTTCAGGTATGACCTAACATACTATTCAGAAATCCCATTACAGTGCCCTCTATGAGAATTATCACGTCGGTGGAAAGCAGCAGTAAAGTGACCAACACATCGGCTTGGAGAGCATAACCTGCTAATAGTCATCCAGGCGCTCGACCTTGAGGTAATAATCCAGGCTGAACTGGGCGGCTCAGAACAAACAACGAAGGAGTCGAAGGTTAGAAACTAGCACGTCGGCAAACTGCGCACGGCGTTTTGGCAATTTGATCTCTGTCTGTTCGCAGTTGCTTAACACATACGTCCGGCATCATGTAGAATAAGCTATCAAGGCCTGTCAGTCCTACCACAAGCAAGATCTCATAGTGTTCTAGATTCCACGGTGAACAGCCATCAAACAAGCCAATAGGTGGTTCCACTTTCCATATCAACATATGCTGAGGACTCTAAGCTTGTGCAATGGTCAGTATCGGCGCCTACGTGGCGACATACCGATCCCGTCGGCCACCACCTACTGCAACTTAGTCACAGCATGAATTTGAGCGTCCGCCAGGTCAAGTTGTCAGCTCAGTAAAGTCGGTTAGAATGTCGGCGAAACTTTTACTCCCTTCATATGTGTCAGCTTTGGAACGACAAGCAAAATTATCTTGTTTCCGCCCCACTTTACTTGTGCTTCCAAAACACCTAGAGGTTGACGTAACGCACCTACATTTCCAGATATCACCTTGCATGTCAACAGAGAACATACTTTGACAAAAGTTGCACAATCAGCATTAACTTACACAATCGTGGTTAACTCATTCCTGCATGTCTGTGCGTGAAAACTACGTTGGCTCCAACGAAACGCTTTTCATTTTCTCGTTATATTTGCTTTTCACCATTCTTTGGTTTATATTCTGGCCAACATACGAGACTTGTTAGACATTTTGCTTTATTTGTCCGTAATGCAACATTGCTCCAGCTTTCCATTGACTTCAATATGTGTAGGTGTCAGCAGTAAACGTTGCAGCAACATGTAATTATTGACCATTAAAAGAAGGATTAAAAAAAGAGCGCGCCTACCTGAAATCGGACTAGGACGCATTCAAAATTAGCAGACCTGACTCTGCTGACGACGGCTTTCGTATTTTAGTGTTGTCAGCTTCATTGGTACTCTATCAACTGTATTGCTACTTGTCTATTGGCAGATAGATATACACAAGAAAGACGATATTCCACACCCGCATTCAATAGACAATCGCACTGCAAATTTTGCACCGCATCATAGAACCCATAGCGAGTTCATTCCTCTGAGAGCACATATTATACTTAACGTGCCGTTAATGACTTCCACTGGGAATGAGCTTACGAATCGTACTGCACAGATAACTGCTCGATTCATCAAAACGAAATAAATTTGCACAAGTACCAAACATAATAAACAAACCCAATGTGACATGAGAACGTAGAAACATTGGCATAAAGTTGTTCCTCTCCACATCCCACTGTGAAGCAGCGCTTTTATCTCAGACATCTTTTGGTGTAGTGTTGAATATTTTCTCCGTAAATTGTGTAACGCCATCAATCATTGTAATTGCTGAAAAACCTTGTGCCCTTTCACTATTTTGCTTGCTCATGTAGTATATAACTATAATAATAAATTCATTATCAGCCCCCTAAACAACGAAGTAGTGCTATTTTCTTTATCGGCAGCGCCTCGATAAAAAACAATTCGCCAAGATTGGTGCCAAAATTAGTGCAGAAAGAAACAATTAATTGCGCTAACTGACGCTGCTCGGCATATATGCATTAGCATTTCACTTCATCACTGTTTGATGTTTTAGCAGCTGTTTAGGCAATAATCAATTTTACTGGGATGAGAAAGGCGCAAACGAAAGTCACACATTGGAAATGGGAAGGCATTTGATCAGTGTTTACAAGCGCTGCTTCAATTAAGCAGACTCACGACTGGCTAATTGTTAAAGGTGTTCCTCTGTCAAACTGAAATTGTCTGGGTTTTATTGGTGGAGAGAAAGTAACATGTAGAACCCTTTGAATCCAGTTTGTTGACCCAATTATTCATTAACACTTTCGGAGGGCGTTTCATTTTTCAGTATCCCTACTCGGCCAAACGCCTTGGTGTCATAAGTCAATGTCTAAATAAGACCATGACAAATGTATTCATGGTGATACATACAAAAACAGGATAAATAATCCTACAAAGAATCAGTTGCAGCATTGCATCACTAGCCATTTGCAGATTACAATCCTATGATAGTAAGTAAGCTAACCTCATAAATTGGCTTCTAACATGTTGCGCTAATCCGGAGGATAGTATACATATCCAATGAGATAGGGCAATGTTGACCACCTCTTTATCCTTACCGATTCATTAATTCGACCGTGTTATTTTTATTGCTTGAATGACCATCTTGTTATCCTTATGGAACAGGACCTCTGTACGTTGGTCACTTTGTTCCAGCCCTTTTAGTGATCAATTTATGAAGGTTTTACTGTAGTTATGTGACCCGTTATCAACCCTTAAAATATTCTACTGATATAGTGCGGAAAGGAGGTTGCGTTCACCATAGCTTTCATCTTCAGTATTTAACGTGTTTACGGTGTAGTAGTGGTGCGGAGACAAAAGCTTTTCTCAAGCTATCACATAACCCTTTCAGTGATTTGGGTAACTAACTGTTGATCAGTATGATAAACAAAAGCTTTCTGTCATACTCAGAATATTTTTCTCACTTTTCATGCCCCCACATATCAGATAACAGACTAACATGTCTTGAGGAAGCACAATGGCAAATTAGTTATTGTTAGCTGAATTGCGTTTTGGTACCCAGCTGAAAAGTAATAAGGCACTTGAAGAGATCAGGATCGAGAGACGAGTAACGAACAAGTCAAGAAATGGATGCTGATTGTTAGTCCGGATGGCACGTTTCGCTTAACCGTACTAATTCCAAGGATGAGGGCACTCCCTGACTCTTGAATCCTGGAAGCTATAATAGAAATTAAAAGCCAAACAACAGCAATGAATATACTTAATTCCCTAAAGTCATCTGCCTCCTTAGTCCAGTTGCAGACTTCTGGCTAATTTTACATTTGACGGTCCATATTGTAGCATCTGCTTATCGCACACTGCTACAACTATCCGGCAGGATTAAATTGATTTGACCAGTTGTGTACTGGTCTTAGAGATAACCAACGGTGCAGTAAATGTCTTCTATTACAAATGGCCCTTCAAAATGAATGGCTTAATGATACGATGACTAATACACTTTCTATTGTGAATTGGTAAACAACAATAGGAATACGGCAACGGAAACCAGAATTAATGGCTTAATTATTCATGACTGTTGATGGAGCTGATTTGTTACAGCATTGCTGGTTCATTCAGTGATTTCCGCCTGCGCGTCAGCCTCGTACATAACTTTTTCTTATTTGAAAGTTTCCATGCTACTGCATACACGCGAAACCTCTAACAGTTGAACTATTAGCAGACTTTCTATCGTTACACTTCAGGTTCCCATTTTAACCGGTCGTGGCTTTGACGCACATCTTACAAACGTGGTATTTTGGATTGTGTGTAAAGTATTCCCTGGAATAAGGTTTTAGCGGCATTTGAGAAGCACGAAATAAAATAATCGTAAACTGATAGTCTTACGGTTATCTAAGATCCGCAATTGTTCTGAACGGCAGTTTCAGTCTCTCGACTATCTTCGCTAGAGCGAATTTATTCTGCCTTTTTTGGAACTATAACTCAGAACATTTGGATGTTAGAACACAAAGATAAGAGTGTCCGGGTTAAACTAGCACGAACAACTAACTAGTTAAGAATCAAGATGACATACTCTCCAGCGCCTAGCATGTTACTGCTGTCTAGAAGAGGCCGACGGTTACCCAATCACAAACAAAAATTAATTTATAGCACTATAACAAAGCTGTGCTGTGTATTGCTTATAAAGGGGTAGTCGGCGAATTTTTATGGTCGGAGTGGTGTGGAGTGTTCTTGCAGCACAACATACTGCTGACGAGTTCCGAGAGGATTAGAAATTTATGTATGGACCTTTCGGACAGCAGTGATTTCATGACTGATTTTTGACTTTGCTGAACCCATACTCATCTAATTCATAGCCACAATAGGTGTACTTCCGAGTTTGTACACCTTACTCAGGTGAATACATCTTTGTCATGTCTCATAGTCGATGACCTAAAGGTCAAAAGAAAGATATTTTCGGTGAAGTAAAAATAGCCGAAAAAGCAAATATGAAGGCAATGCTTCGTTTCGAATGTTGTAAGACACTTACAATCGTTTGAGCCAGGATGTCCTGATCACAATTCTGGTTCGTCTGGAGGCTTTCGTAGATGACGATGCAGCATCGAATGAGTGTGGGTTGAGAAAAGACAGAAAGAAATTTAAAATGATAAGTGGAAGAAGGGTCTATGAACTATAAGTTCATTACGGCTCATATGAATAAGCTTTACGTTGACTTAATACATTTGAAACAAATGTTCATGCAAAGCACCATTTGTTTTACAACTCTTGAAATTTCGTAATTAAACAACCATGTAATACTGAGAGTTCTACAGTGCAGAGCAAGCAAACACAAGTGGGATAAAATGGTTCACACAAAATGATAGATGGAAGGCGTAGACATAGATTCACTGGCAACCGTGTGAGTGAGCGATTTCGTATCTATTCTAAGTCTACTCAAAACTTCTAAAACATGGTAGGCGTTTTCTGTCAGGATGCAGGGTTATTCCTACCTAGAACTGAATGTCACATACACCTTACCGGGCAGTGGTCACTTCCTAGAATCCTGTCAGTTTGTTTAGTATGAAAAGCGCAAGGTTTTAGGTCATATATTAAGATAACTTGTACGCCTTAACAAACTAAGATTTAAATAGCTATCTTGCTGGAAGATTATTGTTGTTGATTGTATATCAATGAATAGCAAATGCTAACGATGAGAATCGTGCTGTTCTATCACTCACCTTGGCAGACAACCTAAGAGGATGGCAGAGTGCATTGTGTTAGTCGCAGTCGTGGATGATAATATTGACGGAGCACTTGTCGATGTTGTGTTGTTTACCGTTGCAGGAGCTTCCGTGCAAACACAGGACACAGCGGGCGACCCCTGAATATTAGGAGAAAATATATATGATTGCTAAGGTGCTTTAACATTTCCGCATTTACCAGTAGGATTAAATGTTACCATGCTTCACCAGCAACACTGTGCAGTATGGCACTAGAGAACTAGCGGTTCAGTGTGACAACCGGAATTAGTTCTTGATTCGTTTCTGTTCATGTAATGATGATCCTATATGTTAACCTTAACCAGTAAAACACTTTGCTGTAACTGCCCCATACCTTGGATTAACAGCGCTTTCTAACACTTCCCCTCAGGCGTTCGGACAACTCATAATTCAGCGGTACACCTCAATGACCCTGTGTGATTGATTCACCTATAGAACCGAAAAAGTTTGGAGTAACTAACGCAGGGAGTATAGCTTGAATTACAGAGGTATCTATGTGACTGAAGCCGAAAAATGTTCCAATATGACACAACGTGTTTCCAGCGTTAGACCGAAAACATATGGCTAAGATTAAAATGCAAACAAATGAGTGCTCACTAAGGGTTAAATCGCTTGGGCTCCGTCGGTCATAATTCTTAGCCAAACAGCATAGACTGTAGGTGTGGAGCTACTCCGTATAAACCCACCGGCGAAAGTTGGTTCATGATAATTGGTTATATTTTTCAATATCATGTAACAGTTGGTATATAGCAGTGTGCATGATATCATGTCGTGACGCAAGGAGCAATATGCTTACTTCAGTAAGCTGCTGCCCAGTATGATCATTTTTCTCACTACAGCATCCTTCAGATGACGTTTTCTTGTCAGCAAAGGTTAAGGGCAGAGATAAGAAAAGGGGCTTCGAATTCGGTGATGAAGATTGGACCGGTAAAGGTGGTGGGGGTGCTGGACGATCCGTTTGGAAGCATGAGCTTAGGCCTGCATAAGTGAAGATTTGGATACAAAAAGGATATGCTGAGTATTAGAAAATATTATCCCTGTAGTTCTTTCAGCCACTACGGCATAGGCACTCTGATTCTCAAAAAATGGATAAAATAACAACGGATATTTCAGTTGATTGAAAAGCTTCAAGTAACGAGATAAAGGAATCCACTGCGTTGGAAAGGAATGCGACAAGCCAACAGAGCTAATAAACCTAGTAAAACAATCTAATGCCTAAAAGTCCCTCCTGACTTTCGACTCACTTCTCCGCGTTGTCTGAGAGGAGATTGGTGCGAAGGTTCGTGTATGCATCAGAGAAATCGCATTTGTAATTCAACCGCGGGGGTGATCACCGCGATGATAAACAGTTGCGCGCAGCTGTTATACGTCACACGCTTTATCTCATCAATACTGCCGAGGTTTTAGGCACGAGCCTCTAGCCGCTGAAGATGCGAGCACAGGACGTAACTGGTCCTTTGCTAATCCCCAGAGGATGGCCACAGTGGTATGAGCATCAAACCCCGGCCTGTTTAATTTTGTAGTTAATCCACACACGTACACAAAACTACACTCGTGTACTAGCGCCGCCTCTCTGGATAAGCTCGCCGACTATTTCCCTAGGTGGTAGAATTGTGTCCGTTTGTCTACCCTTTGCGCTCAGCAAACAAGCAGCAAATCATGGCGTGCATCGCAGTGTACCTCTAAGAATATGGAGTCAGAGACCGTTTAAACGCCAGGCTGTTCCACATTCAATGTAGTCATATTGACATCGGAATCCACTGACTTAATACATCTGTCCCGAATGGATGATTCTAGCGGGTTGTGACCCAATGGAACATTTACTGTTAATCCAATGGAAGTACATGAAACGTGGAAGTGAAAACTTTAGTTATGAAATCGAAACTTGAATCCTTCGAATGACGGTGTAACTGGTTAACAATCCGTGACAAAAGTTAACACGGAATTTTGGTGCTAATAGCCTGTTACCTAGAGTGAGTCTTTCAGTCGTCCAAACACGGTCTGTATAGAATGGATGTGTTAGTCAGCGAATCCAGAGAGGGACTGGATTCGTGCCTCTTTCACGTAATATGGAGATGGTACCAAACAATGGTGATAACTTAGTTTAGATACGTCTGTCCTCGCGGTGCAAGCGATAATGATGGAACAGGGCTGGTTTGCTGGATAGGTAAAATAGTTCGTGACAGCGAGGAGGACAATCTAAATCTCTAACATACCCCGGGTCCAAACTATTGACTACAAGCTTCAACAAGTGACACTGCTTGGTTACATTTTAAGTAAAGCACATAAGACGAGTATGTCTTGTACAAAAGTAAGTCTGTACACTGACATTTGTAATGGAAGACATCCAGCTAAGGTTCTATAATTAAAACATGCCTTGTTTGATTTGACCACACAGCTCGACAGAGTATCATTGGTTATTATCCATCATGTATTTTTCACGCCGTTGTTTGCGTAGTTTGCACAAATTCTACTTTAGAAATAACAGATATAGTCTGATTTGAATATCGCTCCCCATCTTCGCGTTCAAGAATATTCGTTTCTTATGAGAATTTATTCTTTGGCACCTAATTTTGCTGTCAACTTCATTTGCGTTGGAAAATGTCATTCGGCAGAGATAACGGGTAGCAATGGACACACGGTTGAATCTATTTTTGCTTGCACCTTGTACGATTATTCCTGAAGTCCAATCTTACCGTGAAGAGCCAAGTACTAAAGAGACGCTTCAATGTATGAGGTGCCGTATATTTATACCAGCATGCATATAGAAGCATATATATAGGCTAAAAGTTCATATAGTTCATTGAGTGCCACTTTAGGTGTTTTGGACCGAATTATCTACAGAATCAATTGATGCTACAATTGATGCTAAGTCATAAAGCGTTTGAATCATTGTCGAGCACATCATTTTACGGTAAATGGACAACGGAATTGTGAACCTGCCATTTACTGCGCCTGCAGTATAAGTGGGTCTTTTTGCAACATTCATTTGGTAAACTTCAATCAAAACTATCTTCAGGAAAGTTTCAAGGCGAAGGCAACTTTCTTCAGTGCAAATGGATAAGCATTACTCCTTGTGAGCTTCCATGATAAGGGGAGCTATTTTAACCCTTTACGTCAGTATGTTTGTCCAAATAAAACTTCAGTACATGACTTTAATGAGGTGACTTGTGTAGTCCCGGTATGTTACCCACCCAGTTTAGTGCAAAAATGGCACGCAACCGTCATTTAAGCTGGACCAATGTATGAGGAGACACGGCTACATGCTTGTGCGCATGAAGTCGTAGATTAACCTTGACACCTCTTTTGGTTAGAGGTCGAGGTTTACCCCACCAGTAAAACTAAAGAGATCGAATTTTCTGTTTTACTTATACAGTACTTTTATAACCTCATTATATGAATAAACCAGTTGCGTATATTTATGTGTAAACACAATAGTTCATTAGGATTCGCCACAGCAGTGACTCAGTTCATTGCCTATCTGTACTTATACGTATGTTGGATGCTGTTATGTGTGATTAGAATTTCTTAAAAGGCGGTATAATCTTCAATACTCGCATACATAGTTGATTTTTGCCTATTTTTACATCCCGATAATGGTATCAAGTGGTATGTCCATGTGACCTTGCGTCAAGTAGAAAATCGCTTCAACCATCTTAAGATAGCTAAAACGTTGTTGCTAGTTTGCGTCCTCATACAAATAAAGGTACTTGAACACAATTACATACTTATGGCAGAACAAGCGTATGAACCATTTGTTTAGTGTCGATACCTCTGAGGATAGAATAAACACGCAAATTTCTGTATTGTGTGTGCACAGTAGGTAACCCCTAACCGAAATAATTAACGAGAAGCAACATCACTGACAGAATCAGCCACAACAACCCTAACAACTAAGAATCACGTAAACCCTATACTGATACTTCGATGTTGTAGCATGTGTGCCTTGTTTTATGAAATCTGAAGATAGATGACCGCAGTGTAGTGGTTCTCTTATTAGACCGAACCTCCAAAACCAAAAATTCAGCGCCAGGGTGACTCAAACCTACAAAAACCACATGAAATCAACGAGTTGCAAAGTCAAAGTACACGCTAAATGACGGCACCAAGATATAGGACTTACTAAAGTTAGGTGGTGATGCCTAACTTCTATCGAACAGACGAACGATGTCGTCTGTAATGCAAGTGTTTTCCTCGGGATGGCTTTTACTACGTATATCGCTGATATCCACAGTACAAATGAACAACAGCTGAGAGAGTGAATACTTCGATGAAGACGGCAGACCGTTTGCTTAAGGTCTAACAGCCTGCGGTATTAATTTATTTACTGGGAATTATTGTGCTCTTGAGTAAGTAAAACCAAACCGATCAGTCGCCCGAGAGCAGCAGGCGTTTGTACTCAAAGAACGCGGTACTAGTTTGTCTGTGGAACATGAGGATACGTTGCAATTTGGCCTCAACATTCAGGTAAGGGTTTTTCTAATCCCGTTATAGTTCTGCATCAAAGCAGAGGACGGGAGTCGAAGCTGAGATGTTTCCGTGGCTGCAGTCGGTAATCTCATTGCACTAAATGGTTCGCAGATAGCAACCTACAAGTGCGTGATCTGAATGGCGTCGTAAAGCGCTTAGTTTCAATGCTAACCAAATGTTCATGGTAATATCGGAAGCTGGCAGTTCACTGAGTTGTTATGGTTTGACCACTTGCAAACGTAATACGCATGGTTTATAAAGAGAGATGGAAATATCAAATAACTATCGATGTAGTCCTAAGCACTGATAAACAAGTTGCAAAGCATCGGGAATGCAACTGAGTATACACGTTTCTTTTGTTCTTCGGGTAATTAAATGAAGCTGAGAAATATTCCTTTTGAGCCAAAGACAAATAGCTGAAAGAACGCCAGGTTAATTTTACATTTTTTCCAACGTAAAGGTACCTGGGCGTAAATACTACTCTGCTTTTCGAAGAAAACAGCCGTCTGAGAAGAACCGTCATAAGTTAGGATGTATGGTCGCACTTATTTGTAGCATCGTTCTTTAAAGGCTCGCTTTGCCTGTTGTCAAATGGTTCTGGGGACGTCGTGGCGTTTTGCGACCAGGTGGGAATTGCTACTGAAAACGACCGCATTTCCCTTCATTTTAAGGAGTGTGTATCGGTACCCCACTCCTTACTAGATTAAATACATCACGCTGCTCAGTGTAAATTGAGTTACTTCACCTAGATTATTTGTATCGTTCTTCCGATGAGGAGTGATGTAGACTAGGACTAAACTTGATATTCGGCAGTTGTAGTCTTGCTGTATCACAGGGAGGCTGGTCCAACCCACTTAGTACTTCCAAGTGTAAGCAGTAAATGTTAATCTTTTACACCTTCACTACATATCTAAAAACGAATAAACCTTTCACCGGTTAGCCATCCGACAGTGACTTACATTCCTCCGTCCAGTGTCCGTGGGAAACATGTTACTCAGGAGTTGCAATTAAAATGGATGTATCAAGCGGAACGTTAAAAGTTGCCTTAACCATTTTTCATCCCTTACCATGTGAGGTACAACTTACAATAGAACGGACCGATCCCCATGGATAAGAGTTGTTCTATGAGTATACAAACGTACTATGCTGTTGCAACCATGCTTAAATAATTGCTAGTTCCTATGGAATAGTATTGTGCTAACTTGCTCGGATTTCAAAGTGTGTGCTTTTCACTTGAATATTGGTTTGCTTCATATCGCGGCTAGTTCCTAGGCGATTTCGGATACTTTCACCTTTAATCATTTCCTTATCCTTACACCAATCTTACAGCAACAGGATCAGGGGCGACAACTATCTATTGGTCAGATATGAACTATCATGTTGACCTGACTTGGAGAAACGACACGGAAGTTTGATGCCTCTCCAACGGCTCAGTATCCACCTTAGCGCGTTTGACAGCGAACAGTTTTACTTGTTATCAAGCCATACCTTCAAACAGCGTTTAAAAA